TTTTTGTATGCAGCCAATAAGAGAATGTTTTGTTTCATTGTGATATTTGTCCTAAGAAATTATTTGCCCCCTTCCCCCCCCCTTTTTTTTTGATGAGGGTTGTTACTTAAAACATTTTTTAACCATAGAGATAATATTGCCTAATTGTTTTAATTTATTGTAAGAAATCTATTACTAAATGGGAAGTTAATTGTTTTTAATGTAAAAAGCAAAGCACATCAATAAACTTTTAGGAAAAAATTTCGGAGAGCCATAAGAAATTACCGAATTGAGACTCAACTTGCATTATTGCTTACTCAGGACTGTTTATTATCAGACTTTTCAAATTTCAGTTGCTTGGATTTGACTGCTGATGGTGTGCTAATTAACTCAGGACAAAATAATTTAGATATGGTTTCATATTAATAGCAGTCTTGGTATGTGCGCTTCTGTTGATACTTTGCTGACTAAGAATTTCTGAGCTTGTCCAGATGAAGCTAGATTGGGCTTGTTGGGTTTTTTTGTTTTTGTATTTTAATTCCTTGTCAATTAAATGTTGTCTTTTGTACCATACATGTCTTTAATTGCTTTTTTGTATTTTTTTTTTAGTACCATGATTTTTTAAGAATGAATATTGCTGTAGGGAAATATGTAGATAGTTATTTAAGAGCTCATTTCAGTGACTCATATGAGATATTCCAGAAGTTGTTGGTATGTATGAGTCAAGGGTCATTTAAACTCACCGTGAAAAAGCATCAGTTGTACTGAAGTATAGTGGGATATTTGGTTGAAAATGAAAAAAATGGGAAGAACTGATCAATGATTGCTACAAAGCAGTTTAATTAATCCTTAGACAACAAGCAAAAATCTCACAGGTACTTGTTAGCCAGAGAGGTTGATTTCTTCTCGACTTTTGAAATGGGAAGAACAGTGAGACCAATTTAAAACAAATAAAAGAAATAAGTAGCTGCTAATATTATATATGAAGCACTCTTACACTTCTCATGCGCAAGGCAGTATAAAAACTGGAATTCCAAAGATTGGAAAAATAAATTTTTTAGTGTGAATTTATTTTTTCATTCAAGGCTATTTAAAAACTGTCATCCAAAGAAGTCCAGATGTTTCTCTAATATTTGAGGTTTTTCATCAGAATTGTAAAACAACTACTCGAAAAATGTTTTGGGGATTTAAGAAAAAAATTTTTAACTTCCAGTAGGCCTTGAAGTCTTGTCAATATTAAGGGAATGTTAAACTCAGATATATATCTTGTTGTACCAAGAAGCAGCATTCTTCTAAAATTTTAAAAATTCCCAGTGGAGATGAAATTCTTCCACACAGCCTTGTACCAAGCCACATACCTTGAAAGCTTAAGAAATTTATCTAAGAGACAGAGATAAATATGTCTTGGTAGACTGAGACCTCACCTGATTTAAGATTTTTTTAAAAAATAACTTATGGCCTAAAGTTAAGGTTAGATTGGGAATGAGGTGGGGAAACTTTATTCTGAATCAGCAGATAGAATAGAAGTGTGGTTTCATGATGAAGAATTAAAGAATGAATCAAAATCTTGTTAAATCAGGTAAAAGAAGTGATCTACAGTAAAAAGATGACATTGCATATCAAACTTTTTTTTTTAAGATGTAAAAATTTAGATGGTTTAATCATGGCTATTCTTATTTATTAAATCAAACCACAAGGAACCTCCCCTTGCTGGAACCATATTAGCCTACTTTTAGTTATACTTTAAAAATAGTAAAAGTGTGATTTTTAAATTTGTGGTGTTTATTAATTTAGAGTTCCTTTTCTACCAATAAATCTAAATTACTGAGATTTTACTTTGGCACATTATAGGTCTCTAGCAAATGCTTGTTGATTGATTTATTGTAGTGTTTACGTTTGGCTACAGCTGTCTTTCTTCTTCTCCTTCTCCTCCTCCTCCTTTTCATATTTGTTCTGTACGTGCTCAATGTTCAAATCCAACTGGGCTACTAGGAGTTCCCTGAAGGTGGTCTTACATTCTCATACAATCATTTTACATCTCATCTGGTATCATTTCTTCCATGAAGCCTGCTCTGATTACTTCACTTCACAGAAGCTGTTAGCAATGGTCAGAAAAATAGTAGTGGAAATCATTGAAATAAAATTCAGTTACTACCTAACTTAATGTTACATATGTGTGAAGTATGACCTGAGGAGTTCAGAACTCCGGAATTATGCCATGAAACACTCTGCTCCCTTTTCAGTTTGTACCTAGTGGTCATTAGCTCAGACTCTAGTGGGGTAAGAAGTAGAGGAAGAAAGTTTCATGCAGCACTTTTTTTCCCCTTTTTAATGATGTCCTCACTGGACTTTGCAAGATTAGAATTATGTGTCTAGCAGCCCAGCAGAGTTTAACATCTGCTTACTCCGCAGCAGACTACTTGTACTTTCATGAGCATTCCAGAGTGCAGAAGGAAAGACTAATACTCACTTAAGGATAGATGGCAGAGTGCTCCTAGAAGTTGCTAAACATAGGAAAACAAAGGAAATCCATGGAAACTGGAGGAATATTATGGGCTGGTAAAGCAGAGTTAAAAATACAGGGTTAAAGCAAGGTGAATAGTTTCCTTCCCCCCTGGTGTAGTGGAAAGAGTAATGGAATCCATCCACTTGTCTTTGAATCTCTGGGCAATCAAATGCTTCTATATTGGGTAACTATAGGCAAGTCACTTAATCTCTCTTGGCCTCAGTTTCCACATCTGTAAAATAAGGAGTTTTTAGGTGTTCTTTCTAGCTCTAAATCTGTTTCTGTGGTTCACCTTAACATTCTATCTGTAGTATGGATATAGCACTCCCACCTACGTGGGTTTGGCTGATAATCCATGTACTTTAAAAAATCCAAACAACTTTTGGTTAAGAGGGATTATATAAGTGCTTCATAATATTTAGTCAGAATTTGAGGAATTAGCTACTGGTAAATACCAACTGGACAATAGATAGTGGGTTGTGAATTTTCAGAGTGTGGGGGAAAATAGTAACAAAACAGCAATTCTATTATTTTTGTATCTTAAGAAACATTTTTATTAGGATACTTAATTAATCCTTGATTTCTTAGCAGTTAGTCTTCCCTCCACTGATGCAGATCCCAGCCAATGTTGTTCTTGTCCACATCTTTCTTTAATTCTTTCACATAGAATCTACTGTGCCTACCTTTTTGAGCACCTGTGTGTTAGAAGTACCAACATCTTTACACTTTGTCAGGGTATTGACTCTGTCCGGTGTAACTAGGAGTGAGTCTCACTCAACATCAGCATGAAAGGGAAGAAATAGTTGCCAATGGTTTCATGCATACACAAATCTTGAGTATAGAGTCTGGGCAGAAAAAGGGTACTATGCTCTAATTCCTACAAACTCAGATCCCCTAGAAGGTTGATATGTGAGACAGTGATGCCTCTGCACTGAGCTCTTGCCTCAATCCTTGAATATCAGATGACCAATACTATGTAGGCAGATGGTTGTTTTTGCTTGTCCTTTCTCTCACAGTGGTGGAGAGGGAAGTGTGATGAGCTTTGTTGTTTATACATTGCTAAAGAATTAAGTACATTAGGTTCCTTTCAAATTTGCCTTCCTGGGGCAAAGATCTGGTTTACCCTTGATTGGTAGTCATTTCCCTAGGCCATGTAATTTGGTTTAATTCCTGTCCTGTAACTTTAACTCCATATTTCTGGGGCTGAGTCCTTGTTAACTGCCAGCTTTTGTCAATTTTAGGAAGCTAAAAGTGAACTTACATCCATTTTTGGTATTTAATTTTTCATAAATTTGGAACAATTTAAAATATATTGTCTTATTACACTTTTGGGGGAAAAAAATTAAGTAAGATTTGTTTATGTGAAGATGCCATGTCCTGCCACCCTTCAAACTGTGTTTTCCTCTTTCCACTTTTCCTTTTGGCTCAAACCTCATGAGGATCAGGCTTATGATATTGAGGGAAAAGAGCAGTATGACTTCATGATAGGCAGCAACTCAGATAGTTTGAGGACCCTTCCCTCATACCTTCAGAATTCAGAGGTCTGCTGTACTAGGCCTATAATTGCCTAACATTAAGTTTATTTTAAATAAACTGAGTCATTATCAGGAGAGTGGTGTTTAAAAAATAGAACTAAATCTTGATGATTATTAAGTAGAATTTTTTAAATGTCAGCTACAGCAGAATAAACATTTCTATAATTTTTACTCCCCCCCTTTTTTTTGCTTGTATCAAAATGTATTTTGTCTTGAGAAATTACCCACTGTTTAAAATAGTATGTTACCCTCTACAAATTTTGCTTATGCCATTTTTTAAGTTTCTAATACAAGTAAAATAGCATTATTATGGAATTTTTTTTCATATGAATAAGATATTTTTTGCACCCAGTAGAATGTATAGTCTGTGAGGGCAAGTATTGTTTCATTTTTGTCTTATCTCCAGAACCTTGAACATAGATGTTCACTAGGATTCCTGTATATAAGATCCACTGCCCCTTCAGTTTCTAACCATACCCTCAGGGACCAGGTGTATATGTGTATAGGCGGGTGAGGGAGTTAAACTAAAGGTGTTACTTGTTGCTTTTATGTCATCTGTTGTCAATATTTAGAATAGATAATTGAATAATAATTTTTCAAAGGGCAGCTAGGGTGGCACAATGGATAGAATGCTAGGCCTAGAGTTAGGAAGACTCATCTTCCTGAGTTTAAATCTGGCTTCAAACACTTACTACCTGTGTGACCCTCGGCAAGTCACTTCACCTTGTTTGCCTCAGTTTCCTCGTCTGTAAAATCAGATGAAGATGGAAATGGCAAACCACTCCAGTATCTGTTAAGAAAACCCCAAATGGGATCAGTCATGAAGAGTTGGACAAGACTGAAAAACAACTGAACAACAATAATAAAAAATATTTCAATTACAATGTGCTTATACTCTTATTTTGATTGCTTGAATGGCTGTAAGAAAAATACCGTAATGTGTCTGTTAACTTTATTATTTTTGTTTGTCTTCAATATAGGACTAAATCAAGTTTTAAGTCAGCAAGCAAATCAGGAAGTCAGTCCTTTGGACAGCATGATTCAGAGGCTCCAGCAGGAACAAGATCTGAGACGCTCTAGTGAAGCTGGTGCCAGTAACAATAGCCGTTTAGGCAGAGGTTAGCAGTGATGTGTTTTATTTTCATGTTGGCAATTGATCGTTTGATATCAGTAAAAGTCTTTATTTTGTCTATAAAATATCTTATTTACTTACCCTTTCCTGGTGATATTGACTCATTCTAGTTGTCTTATCTCTTTTTAACACTAGAAGGACCAAGCATGTGAATTGACACAAAAATACTAGAATTTTGCTTTGAAATAAAAATTTTTATCCTACTATCTCTATTTTCTTTGCTTTATGTGTTTAAAAAAAAAGTTCTGTGTCAAATGATGCAGTTCTGTTGGTCCTTCAAGGTATTCTTAAAGTTCTGATCCTTCTAGTATTAAGGCTAGTACAACAACCTCCTAATCTATTTTTCATTCTCGCAGTCTATCTTAAATTATTCTTCCTAATTCTTGGTTCTGTTCATAGCACTCCACTGATCAAGAAATTTCCTCTAAACCACAAATTAAAATCTAAAGTTACTCTGACATTCCTATTTTTCTGTAACTTGGTATTACCCTTACCGTACCTTTTTCTGATGCTACTATTTACGTGATTTTGTGTCCTCTTTGCTTTTCTGAAGGTCTAGATGTTCAAATTTTTATCGATCTTTGAAGGCCCCTCCATCATTTCAACTCTATTTCAGCAGATATTCTCTTTGCATTTTTGGAGTGTTCAGGATCTTATTATGTAGGAATTGTTTTACATGATATATATTTTCTGGTATTTGTAAATCTTACTTAGTCTTCTTACTTTTCTTATCTCCTTCAGTACGTAGCATAGTGCTTTTAATTTTTAAACAACTTTTTATGAAGGTAATGATTTGATATAACTTTAGTGCCTTGCACTTCACTGATATATTTCATTAGCTTATCTACACAGAGGAATTCACAGTTTACATCAGTATTTTGATTTTAAACTTTGTTTCTGGTTCAGTTATATCTGTAGTTATGCTAAATTTATAATTGATCATTTGAATGACCACAGTAACATGATGTTAAATTGAGATTATAACTCCCAATTCAATTTATTGTGTGTGTATGCCTTATCCATGTGTATCAACACAGACTTTGCCAATGGCTTACAATAAACTACTGTTTTTAACTTTTTATTCAGCCTCTGTAAGTTCTACCTCAGAAGTTCATTCACCACCGAATATAGGCCTGAGGCGAAGTGGACAAATTGAAGGTGTAAGGCAAATGCATAGCAATGCACCAAGAAGCGAGATAGCTACAGAGCGGGATCTTGTGGCCTGGAGTCGAAGGGTTGTAGTACCTGAATTATCAATTGGGGTTGCCAGGTAAGGCTCGCAAGTATCCATGTAGAATTAAGGTACTTGGATGTCTTGTGGGACTATTTTCCCTCTAAAGTAGGGTTCAGCAGAATATTGCCTGAGAGCAAGCTGAGAATGTTTTTTCATTTTTAGAGTTGGACCACAGGTAGTATTTTGTCTACTCCTACTCTGGAGAAAGAGTGAGTTCTCTTGAAGAAGGAATTAAAATCTTCAATATGAGAGTAAAGATTATATTATTTTGTCATAGCTTTATATTCCTGTCTTTTGAGCAGGAGGAGATAACATTGGGTTGAATCACAACTGTTAAATTTTTTAGGTTTTTACATCAAATTCATTTGTGTATATATAAATGGCTTTTATATGGTGTAATAACAAAATAATGTTTTTTAAATTGTAGGATATATGTGTTGAACTTAAGTCACAGGGTTGCTGTTTTTTGTTAAACATTAATAAAATTTCAAAATATCTGACCCATTTACTTCACTTTTTTAATTTTTCATTAAAACATGTTCAATTATCTGGCAAAGAGAATAAACTACAATCACATAGTGTTTAATGGTCACACTGTGTTGGTGTTTCATTGTAATGCTATCCTCATGGTCTGTTCTTTGGGACCTTCTTATAGTGAAGGCTAAATGAATACTGAAAGTGTTCATTGTTTCCAGTGTCAGTGTCTAAAGGTAAACATGCATCCAAGATATTCCTATTTTAGTAAAATGGAAATTGATATAATTGTAACCTGTAAGGATGCAAATAGCCCTCCATAAAAATAATGCTTTTTGATGAGCACTTTTATTATTTACGTTGACCTTCAGTTATCACCTTAAGATATTAACCTCTCATCTCCTCTTTTACCACCTACAATAGAATGGCCTAATAAAGGCATTGCCTCCTCTTCCTCACCACCTGCTCTATTACTTGTGATATATCTTTTGTTCTCTACTGAAACAACTTTCTCCAAGGTCACTAATAACGTCAGTAATGATAAAACAACATTTTTTCCCATTCCAATCTTCCTTGATCATTGTGGAATTTGACAGAGTGGACCAAATCCTCTTTTAGATGCCCTTACCTTCCATAATTTCTGTGATAATGTATTTTCAAGTTTCTACCTCTTTGACCAGTCTTCATCCTTTTTATTTTCTTTGCTCTTCATTTTTGTTCCGTCACCTTAAACTCAGGCAGACCTCTGTGTTCTGTACTAGGTTCTCTCTGTTTTCTCTCTGCACTATTTTTCCTGGAACTTTAATCTGGGTTCTCAGCAGATTCCCTGAATAGTGATTCCCTGAATCTCCAGGGTAGAAGGGCAATATTTACAATTTCCTGTTTGACATCTCCACTTGAATGTTCCATTAACACCTTAAATTCAACATGTATAAAATGAAGTAACTCATTCCCCTTCAAAATCTTCCTTTTCGTCAACTTCTTTGTTTCTGTTAGTGGTACCACCATCTTGTCAATGAGGTTCATAACATAGGAATTATTTTTTACTTCTTCCTCCCTATATATCCAATCACATTTAAAATTCTGATGTTTCTAATTGCACAATATTATTCATATCACTTCCCTCCTCTCCACTTCCTATCTAATGACCATAGTTTAAGTCCTCGTTTTTGTTTTGTTTTGTTTGTTTGTTTTGTCTGGGCTATTATAAAAACTTGGTAACTAGTTTTCTTTCTTCCAGCCTATCCTAATCCCTTACTTCACATCACTAACTGAGTAATCTTTCTACTACATTGCTATGACCACATCACCCTTCTTGAAATAAAACTTCATACTATCTACTATATAAATTACAGACTCTTAATCTAAACCACTTTCAGTTTACCTGTCCAGCGTCATTTAATCCAATATCTTTTTGCATTCTTTTTCCAGATGAACTGAACTATTTCTAGTCTCCTATCCTTTATCTTTCAGTTCTTTTCTCTTTGAAGGTTGTAACTCAGATTCCATTTTCTCTGTGAAATCTTAAGTGACATTCCTTCCCTCCAGTCCTCCAATCCAATCCTATTTTCATCCTCGAATTTCTCATATCAGTTTGTGTGAATATGTCCTTTAAAATTATCTCTTTCCCTTGTGTCATAATATTTTGATTATTTCTCATTGAAGCAAATAAATGGTTAGCTTTTTAAGAGTAGAACAGTGTTAGATCTTTCAATCAGTCTATTGGTACACATTTGTTAAGTGTACACTATTTGCCAGGCAGTTTGCTAGGTGCTGGAGATAGAGATACCAAAAAATAAAACAAAAACAAAAAAACCAAAACCCCAACAAAAAACAATCCCTACTCAAATAACTTACTCTGTTGTTGGGTTGGCATGTTCATATAAAAATGTTTTCAGAATGAATAAAAGATAATTAAACAATAAGGTAATTGTATATACTTTTATATCCTTAGCATGCTCATGGTAGGTACTTCATAAATGTTTGAACAAATGGCTTTGGAATTTAAGTGCAAAAATGTATTTTGCATACATTTCAAATTTAGAGACGCTATATCCAGTTCCAGTAATATTTTGTTAATATGTATTTTTAATTGTTTTCTTTCTTAGAGATTAACAGCAATGCAGAAATAAAAGAATGAGGATCTCCTTATGCATTTTCCCCCAAATTAATTTTTGTTCTGAAGTCATTTGTTGAACACTCATCTAACATGCATGTGGCTTACTTCACTTTTAGTAGGCAAGAAGAATGGAGAACTGCAAAGGGAGAAGAAGAAATAAAAATTTACAGGTCAGAAGAGAAAAGAAAACACTTTACAATTCCAAGAGACAATAAAATACCTACTCTGTCAAAGGTAAATCATAATTTATGTATGCAATAGCTGTATTGTACTAATTAAGATTAATTCTTCTATGCTTGCAGAGGAGCTGTGATTTCATTAGTGTTATGAATATTGATTCTATCGAAGTGAATTACAAGTCCTCCAGGAACTATACCCCAAAACAGTTTTTCACTTGGTGGGCAGCCTAGTCATTAGACTTTCTGAACATAGTCAGTCTGGTTCTTAGACAAAAGGACAGAACCTCTCGTTTTTATTTATTGAAGATTACATGGTGACATCATTGAACCTCTCAGTGCTCACTGGAAATTCTCTAAGACTAGGAATTTTAAAACAGTTGTCCATCAATGTTGGTAAAAGGATTTTCCCACTTCTGTGAAATCATAAGCCTTCACCCTTTACTCCCTCTAAAAAAGCCACTTACTCAGTTTGGATCTCAGTTTCTTTGTAAAATGAGAGTGTTGAACTAGATGGTCTTTATAGTCCTGAGCTTGTAAGCCTGTGATCCCATGTTGCAGTTATTCATTATAACAAATTTTTAATCTTGTGATGGCTACTCTTTTTCGCTCAGCACAAGCCTGGCTAACTGCACTATCAACTTGTATCCTTAATAAAGATGCTTAAATTAGCCTAAACAAAACTTATTTAAGAAAATGTCTACTGCAAAATCACATTATACATATTAAGTACTTGACCATATCAATGTGAATATTTTCTCCATGCATACAGAGCATAGACTATCCATACCAAATCATTCTGTGTGATTTTTATGTGTTTTCCCATGGACTTTTGACATTGGAATGATCTAATATGCTTCAGGCCTTCCTTTAGACCTATTTATATCTTGTTGGGTACCAGTGCAGAACTCAATTGGCCCCATTTCCTTTTACATTCATGTGCTTTCTGAATGAAAGCTTTGCAGCCTACAGTGTGCTTACTTTGTATCTCTCCATTGCCCTCATGAAAGTCTTCATTGATTTTCAAGATTCCATAGGGTGTCATTGGGAGATTTGTGGATTTTTTTAAATGGACTTTTATACTGAGGAATTGTATGGGATTTATCAACTTTTTATAACCATTATTTTCCTCATTGCTGGCAGGGGAACACCTTATTCAATCTCAGGTATTCTATATAGGATAGGAAATAAGGGTTGGCTCTGTGATTTTATTATTAGAAAGAATTCCCACATGACCAAACTGCCTCTGCTAATGTAGGTTGGCACCTTCTCTGTAACTTATAATCTTGGAGAGTTACCTAGAGTACCTGACAGGTTAATTCACTTGCTCAGGACCACACAGTATTTATCAGAGGTGAGACCTTGAACCCAGGTTCTTCCTGCTTTTAAGTCCACTTCACTATGCTGTCTTTAGTGTGCTATATGATGAAAATTTAGAAGTCAGAAAAAGTGGCTGGAACAGACCAGACACACATAGAAGTACTACATACTGGAAATAACAAAATCTTGAAAGCATTGGTGTATTATTTTGTGAAGTATCTCAGGGTAGGATGATGTCAAAAGAACAGGAAAACATCAGAAATTCTTCTTACTACTCAAAGACCATAAAGAAACCATTAGTTAATTATAAATTAGTCTGCCTGTGTACCCCTCTTAAGTAAATAGTTATGTGACGTTTCTATAGACATACCAAAGGTATCTTTTATTATTTTGTTTTTGTTTTTGGCTAAGCAGTGGGGTTAAGTGACTTACTCAGGATCACACAGCTAAGTGTCTGAGGTTGGATTTGAACTCAGGACCTGTGCTCTATCCACTGTGCCACCTAGCTGTCCCTATTATTTTTTTTTTTTTTTCAATGAGAAGAGAAAAACAAGCATGTTTATTTTGGTGATTTCAAAGTCACAGTTAATGAAGAACAGAGAATGCAACATCTTGGGCTAGCCTAACAATACAATCAGGGTAAACTCAACGGATGTAGCATGCTTGTTATCAAGACTGATGTCACTTGCAAGGCCATTCCATTAAGTTAGTGTATCAGTAAGTATTTCTGGGATGAATTAATGAGTTGGGTCCAGAATTGAATATAGAAGGAAGAGATTAGACTCAATAATGTTTTAGAAATTGCATGGTACTTTTAATAAAAAGATCATGGACAAAAAATGGATGTGATTTAATTTTGCATGATCTATTCTTTTGTAATATCCAAACAACTTTCTATTAATGCAAATATTCAAGAGTTAACAATTCATAAGAAAAATATTTCTACTTTTCTATTAAAAATGTAGTTGAATCTCCTCTGCTGGCTACTACCATCATTTTCTATATCATAGCTCTGGGAGAAATATTTTAATCTTATTAGGTTTCAGTATGCTTTTATCTTCTTAAATATGCTAAAATTCTGGCATATTAAAGGGCTTAAGGACTCTTGGTAATTTTCTAGTTCTTTCATTCAATTTTTCAGTCTTCTCACACTGTTGTTTTATTCACAGTCTTCCAAAGTCTAAACCATATGAAGCTGACTTATAAGTACTGAGAGGGAGAAAGGCAGAATCCTACAGGAAACATTTAGTTCAGCCTAGGACTCGTTACCTTTTAAGCAAAAATTCTGGGTAATATTTCATTCTGGGTAAAATAAGTGTCTATTACCTTTTTTAAATTTTGGCTTCTCAGGGATCCTAGACCAGTTTCTTCTACCAGTGACTTTTTTTTTTTTAAACAAAATTGGTTGAGGGACTTACATGTACTTTGAAGAAATCTAGATAAGCCATATATGTAATCTTTTCCTGATCTCAAAGGGATAGGGATTGAACCTGTGATTTTTCATTAATATCAGAATTCCTCCTTAATTATGAAAATTCTTTTACCATTGCAAATTTGCACCTTCTCTTTAATATATAGTTTCAGAAAGTTGCCTAGAGCCCTGAGAGGTTAAGCGAATGGCCCAGGGTCTTACGGCAAGTGTGTGAGAGAGGTTGAACTTGAAATGCCGTCTTCCTGGTTCTAAGAGTAGTTCTCTATTCATTATGCCATGCTCTCTCTGTTCATTAAAAGGAATTGAGGTTAGTCTGACATCAAGCCATATCAGTACATTAATATCTAATTTTGTGTATACTCTCTCACCATCACTGTAGTAACCAGTGTTCAGTCTGTCAGGCTAAATGCTCTAAGGAAGAAGTTACTGAAGTCTTTAGGGTTCTGATCATAAAAGCTTAAATTAAGGTTCGCTTGTAATCTACCTGAGTGAGTTTGAGAAAAATTTCCTCTGCCTCCACAAATGTTTGGCTGCTTATCTTTAAGCATGCAAAGAATCTATAGTAGCCTTTGTGTAAGACATATTTCCCTTTTAAAATTCAATCTCAGCTGAAGGTTCCCCTCTCTCCTCCTAAATCAGTGATTTCACAATTTTTTAGACATCAAAACATTTAAGCCTTTAAGGGAAGATCATTGTAGAAATTTGAAACATCACTATTTTTTGATTTCCCCAGTTATGATGCAAGTGCCTTTAACCCACTCACCCTTACTTTTCTGTCCTCCCCTCTGTTGATAAGCAATAGCTATGACTAAACTACTCCTTGCTTGGTATTGCCAGTTTTCATTACATATTAAAAGACAAGTTACAGTCTGTAACCTTCATGTAAGAAGTGTTAAAAAGAAAGATATCATCCAGAAAATGTATGATTGGAAAAAGAGGTTGTCCAAATAGGCAGCAAGAGCAGGAAATAGCTTATGTGCTGTCCTACTTACCAAAGATTATTACAACATTTACAAAGTTTTCAGTACATTGTAGATTTTATGATAGAAAATTAATGGGATAACATGACCAGGCATTACATAGCATGAGATAGTATAAATGAGTCTGATGTGCATCATTGAAAAGGAGCGGCCACATTAATATGATCATGGATCCTTTTAAACAAAGTTTTCATAGTCTTATTTCTACGTTCTGCTGCAAACCCATAGCAAACGACCTTAATACAATGGCGAGTTAGCTACTCCTGATAGTTATCATTAGCCCTTAGTAGCTTAAGCCACACAGATTTCTGACCAGGAATATTATTTTACATTATCCATACTTTTGGAATCATTTAATCTTTTTTTTATTAATTTATTTTTATTTATCAACAATTATTTCCTTAAGCTTTTGAGTTTTAAATTTTTCTTCCCCTCCGTCCCCAAGATAGCACGCAGTCTGATATGGCTTATACATATACATTTCTATTAAACATATTTTCACATTAGTGATGTTGTAAAGAAGAATTAGAACCAATAGGAGGAACCACAAGAAAGAGAAAACAAAACAGAGGAAAAAAAATAGCAAATAGTATGCTTCAATCTGCATTCAAACTCTGTAGTTCATTCTTTGGATGTGAATAGCATTTTCCATCCTGAGACCTTTGGCGATATCTTAGATCCTTGCATTGCTGAGAAGGGCTAAGTCTGTCAACGTTAGTCATCGCACAGCGTGGCTGTTATTGTGTACAGCGTTCTGGTTCTGCTCCCATCACTCAGCATCAGTCCATACAAGTCGTTCCAGGTTTTTCTGAAGTCTGCCTGCTCATCATTTCTTATAGCACAATAGTATTCCATTACATTCATATACCACAACTTGTTCAGCCATTCCCCAGCTGATGGGCATCCTCTCGATTTCCAATTCTTTGCCACCACAAAGAGCTGCTATAAATATTTTTGTATATGTGGGTCCTTTTCCCATTGTTATGATCTCTTTGGTATACAGCCCTAGAAGTGGTATTGCTGGGTCAGAGAGTATACACATTTTTATAGTCCTTTGGCCATAGTTCCAAATTGCTCTCCAGAAAGGTTGGATCATCTCACAACTCCACCAACAATGCATTAGCATTCCAGTTTTCCCACATCTTCTCCAAAATTTATCATTTTCCTGTTTTGTCATGTTGGCCACTCTGATAGGTGTGATGTGGTACCTCAGAGTTGTTTTGATTTGCATTTCTCTAATCAATAATGATTTACAGCATTTTTTTCATATGACTATAGATGACTTTAATTTCTTCATCTGAAAACTGCCTGCTCATATCCTTTGAC